CACACACATACATACGTGCGTGCATACATATATATATTTGTTATAATATATTATTATATACATACAAGTACATTTGCTATATATTTACAATACATAATTATATAAATTCAAAGATATACATATAGTCATCGATACGTAAAAATACTTTATACATGTGTATGTGTTTGTTTATGTGTTCATTGTTACAAAAACCCACCCTTCTTTTGTTAAAATTACTGTTCTCAGCACTTTGACTAAGACTGTTTTCATTTAGATGATTACAAAATTGTCTTCTAAGCATTCTTTGCAACTACACACCACCCTCTCCTTCTCCTCCACTCATAGGCTTCATGAAACATCCCTGTACCCTGTAAATGTATGTATATCCGTGCTATTGATGACGTGTACACGGGCGACTTGTTGTTTTAAGCACAATTTGTGAGGAATCAGGCTCTCGTCAATTTTTTGGCATATAGAGTTATTGGTATCATCTTAAAGTTTGCTGACTTGTCTTTATTTGGATGAAAAAAAAATCCATTTATCTTGTGTACAAGTCGAGATATTTGTAAATGAAGGAAGTGGGGGTCACCTGTTTTCAGTGGTAAAATTAGTGAGAAAGTGGCCGCCAAAGATTAGTTATTTCCTTAGCTTAGGAGTCCGTGGTAACCGAAAATTTACATTCTGTGTGCCTTTAATCAACGTTTTTCAGAAAAATCCACACCGAAATGAGTTCTTAAATGGGCATGAAAGGTGTTGAGCATAAAAACAAAAAAATTGATAAAAATTCGCAAACCTGTGGAAAAATGCAAGTTTCTTCACTTTGATTATTTTGACGAGAGCCTGATTCCACCACACTGCCTTACATTTGTCAAATGGATCTTTACTGAGGATTAAATGAAGCAATAATACTTTTATAAAATTATCAAAGGTAACACACTTGATTTAAATCGGACTTTACATGGTGTTTTACCTTAATACATTGGTATACAAGGACAGATACGGTCAAAGTAAAGTGAAGGATATTATATCACTAGGTGAATAACTCGCTAACGATATGATATCTTCTAGTGAGCGGCTTTTAGAAAGAGGGATTATTAGTTCCATTTTAAAATAGTATTACGTTTTAAACAAGGGGAAATCAAGCTCTTGTCAACTTTTGAACGTATCTTAAATCTTCTTCGTTTCTCTTGCTTTCGATAAGTAATAGCTCTCTATTCTGGATAGAAGTCGGGATATGTACTATTGAAGGAGCAAGGGCCCTTTTTTTATCACATATAGAATTAGTGGGGAAACGGCCTCAAAACGTTGGAGACATCCACATTTTGAGTTTTCTTAGAAACAGCAAGTTCATATTTTAGTGCGTTTGAACTTAGTTTTTAAAAAAGTAAAATTACACAGATATGTCTTCTTACTTGGACCTAAAATGGGTAATCTTAAGAGAAAAACAATCAATTTCTTTAAAAAGATAGAAATTCGATGAAAATAACCCATTGGGTGGAACAATGTCGATTCCTTCTCTTTCATTACTTTGACAAGCGTCTGGTTTCACCATGTCGACGCAGATATATTTCTGTCACACCCAACGATTCCGACTAGTTTATTGGCCCAGTCTTTAATTTAAAAAACAACAACAACAACAACAGCAACAAAAGCAACTCAAATGTCTCTCCACCTGTAAGAATGCAAGACACATATGCGAATGGTCTTTGTTTCATGAGCAATCAAAGGTCAAAAGATATCTTGACTAAACATTGTTTTGTCATGTCAACTGGCCCTCTTCCTTCTCTCAGAGGCTTTGCCTTGCACCTGTGCAGCAGAGCTCCAGGGAATTGGTGAAATATGGCTATTCGCTTGATAACCGTTGTATCCTGACATGTGTTGTCAAAAAAGCATAACAATGAAATGTTCTGTTGTGTATTGACCTCCGCCCTCAGATGCCTCTGCTCTTTTTTCTGTGCAGCAGACCCCACAGCGACCTACGGAAGGCCGGGTTCATGAAGGCATAGATGATCGGGTTCACGATGTGGTTGCTGAAGTATACGTAGAAGACAATCACGTTGAATCGGATGACCTTAAAGGCCATGAGCCATGAGGGCAAGTAGGCTATAACGAAGGCCAAGGTCACAACGAAGAGCATGATAGCTGTCCGGATGTTGGCCAGGAAGTATTTGTCCTTGAGGCAGCCGTTGCTGCTGGTGGCACACCCTGGAGTCTTGCCGCCTGGCGGGCCGGCTTCTCTGTCAAACGTCTTCTCTCTCCCCAGCATACGGCTTCGCTGGTTGTCCGACGGCTCTGGTGTCGCCTCCACGTCGCTGTTCTGCTGTTCTACTGTGGATAGCCGCTGCTGTTGTTGTTGTTGCTGTTGTTGCTGCTGCTGTTGCTGCTGGAACTGTTTTTCTTTACGTATGAGCGAAGCAGATTTCGCACCGTTCTGAATGTCTACCATGGCAATGCTTTTATCCGGAGAATCGTTGAGCATACTCTGGTTCTCAGTGAGCGAAACTTCATGTGTGACTGTCAGCTTGGCTTTGGCAGCCAACCTTCTTGACCTCCGGACTAGCACAGAGCGGTAGATGAGGATGTAGAGGACGAAGACCACAGAGAAGCAGACGAGAAAACTGGAGGAGTAGATCGTCTGGTACGTGCGCCGGAAGTGCTCGGAGAACAGAATCTGATTGGGCAGACATCTCCCGGTGTAGATGTAGGACTCGTTACTCGGTTCCTCCTGAATGCAGACTTGTTTCGCCAGTTCTACGATGACTTTCATGATCTGTGCTGACAACGCTTCCTCTTCCACGTAGTTTTGACCACAGTCAACACATGGTTCCAGCAGACCGAATATCTCAGACAGATTCCCCATATTATTGGAAACGGTTCTCTGTAACGGTTCCGGCTGGAAGTCGATACTGCTAAGCGTATCCGTATCGAGATATACCCCATGAAACAATGCAGGGACGATACCGATCATAATCGCAAGCACTAACAACACGAGCACAGAATTCCTGGCTCGGGTAGAATCGAGAACGTGCGAGTGCGGCCGGCAGATGCACAAGTATCTATCTATAGCAATGGCGACCATGATGAAGACGGAGAAGGGTATGGTGCAGGTAATGATGAAATAGTAGAGCTTGCAGGAGGCATCCAAAGACACCTGGTAGTTGAGCCCTTCAACGATCATGGTGTAAGGCATCCCAACGGCTGACGTGACCAGGTCGGTTCCCGCCAGAGCGATGATGAACACGGTGGAGGACAGCTTGTTGCGCTTACGGACATACACATACAGCACGAGGGAGTTGCCCAGGAGGCCCAGGATGCTGAGGATAGACCACAAAATGATAGAGTTGAGATTTAAGGTATTAAACATTTTGGTCATCATTATGTTGGTATTTGTTACACAAATATTTAAATCATGTGTGTCTATGGTTGAAAGTGTTATCAGAATTTCTTTTCATTTAACAATGCAATTTTAGTATTTTACGCCACTTCCGACACAATTAAGGTAATATTGAAGGCGAGTTTCCGATCCTGCCTATTACGGCCAACCCGAAATGATGATGATGATGATGATGATGATGATGATGAGGATGATGATGATGATGATGATGATGATGATGATGATGATGATGATGATGATGAATAACGATAACTGATCGATAAGCTACTACAATAAAACTCTATAGCTGACAACGTTGATGACAATACTGATGACGATGATAACGATTTCGTTATTGGCAATACAAGCATATTATATTATCTGAGTGGTGAGTGTATTTATTTTTCTCCAATTTTTCTTTCATTTGTCTTTACCTAAAGCAGGAGAGCATGATGATAAGAGCAGTGACAGGTCGGGGTGGTATCCGCATCTCCACGTATTCCTCTACCATGGCCGTGTTTAGCTCGTGGCATGGGGCTGTCTCGTTCATCCTGCAGAAAGGAAGAGAGGAGTGGGGAGGTCAGGGGAGGTCTTTAATACCATGAAAAGCGAGCTTTACGCTTTAATCATCCATGTCTTCTACACGATCTGGTAGTTTGTTTTTTTCTAATTTCCCTAGATTCGTGAGAACAGGATCTTATTTGAGCTCTAGTTACGTTAACACCCCAATTTGAGTAATTACGTTTGTTAATTGTAGACATTTGAAGCAATGATCAACACGATCTAGATTATACAGAAGGTAGGGTGCTTGATCCGGGTTGAGGGGAATACTACGTTCCAGCGGACAGCTGATGTACAGGGTGATCCAAAAAAACAACAACAACTGTACATCTTTTTGGGGGGTTAGTATTATCCTCCAAACTGAAGTTTTGTGTTTCAAATTTGTACACACCACTTGGAAGTCTAAAGGAATTTGTTTGATATCCGTTATAGATAAATCCACAAACCCACATAATAGTTTTGTTCTCTAAAGCGCGTAAAAAAAGCAACCCATTTTCAGCAATGTCCCCATTTTTTGTAGCACGACGCACTAATTTGCATTAGGCCTACCACTAAAAATACCAAAGATTGCACCTTATTACAAACTACAGTAGTGTAACAGGCCAAAGGAAGTTTGCAGATAGTTTTTCCCCAGTTTCTTGTGCCTGCTGAAATCGTGGTTATGATAAGTAAAGAGCAGTGATCCTTTTGTATTGAACATTTCCTCACCGCCAATTCATTGACTTTCCTACATCTCAACCGTCCGCATTGATCTTCATCTACGACTGTACCATTTTCCCATTTACGAAGCTATCAGAGGATAGCAATGTATTCTTGATTCCTCGATTGTCTTGAAAGGCATGAACATTTTCTCTATGACATTTGGTTCCTTGTTTGGCAAAGCCCATATTCACCTTTCAGGTAAATATCAACTTCACAAATGATATCCCCCAAATTGTCTCTAGAAACAGCTCCATACTGTAAAACGTACGCACACACGCGTAGGCTGGATATAAGAAGACTTTCAAGGACATTGACAGTATGGATGTGAGAATGATGCTGCTAACGATGGGTCTGACTTGCTGGGGATGATGGGCGTTGGGGGTACGTCTATACTGCTGAGGTTATAAAATACTGATACAGAATGCCTTATCATACCATAAAAAATGAATAATTGAGAGATGGAACAATAAGAGGCAAAATCAGCGCTGCACTGGGTAGCTCTTACCTCCATAAATAAATTATTAATGGTTCGGTTTGCGTTCCCAGACGGTTGTTTTTGCAAGTTCACCGGGTCACAAAGTTACAGGACAATGGCCTGTCCGTGAATTATTCAGCTCAAAAGACTCAGTCTCATATTTTGGATCGGAACTCAACAGTAAGTTTGTCAAGCTACATAATTATTATACCCTATTCCCTTTTTACTCTGAAGTGAACCATACACAAACATACACAAAAAACACACACACAAACAAAATTATATAATATAATGATATACATACATAGAAAATGCTTGAATATATATGAATATCTTTTTCTTTTTATCTAAATCTAAATATAATCTAAATATATCATATGAAACCAGGAGGGGTAAACCGACTGTAGTCAAAAACTGAAAATCGTGAGGTTACCAATTTGGAACACTTGTTGACCTATAACTGTATTTCTGTTCAACTGTTGGTTGATTATTGTTGTTAGATTTCCCGTTCAACAACAATTAACAATAGACCAAGAGTCAAACAAATATGAAGTTATGAGTCCAAAAGCTTTTAAATTTGGCACCCTCATAATTTTCAGACAACATTCATTTCCCCCACGTGCTCTTCATATAATTTATACACATTATATATAGTAAATAATATACACACAGAAAGAGAGAAAGAGAGAGAGAGAGGGAGAGAGAGAGAGAGAGA